TATTTATCAGAAGAAAAAAAAATTATACACCAGCGCATATAGTAAAAGAGATCAGTGGCAGCTGAAGGGGCAGGTGGAACAGTAAACCACAGTCCTCGACACAATTGAGCTTGCTGTTTTATTTTGTGTTTCGACGGCCTGTCATATTCATTCCTCGATCTCTGTGTCCTCAGAATGGGCCGTTAGAGCCATTATTATGGAACAAGCTTACCAAACCAGAGCAAACATCCAAGGGCAAATATTCTGGATACAGTAAAGGCAGAGGGTCCTTGTTACCCTATTTAACAAATCTGTTAACCTTTTGACCATTCCATAAATAAAATTCTCTATTGTGTTTGTGTTAATGAAACTCAAATCATTTAACCAAGTAATTACAAGATAACAATGATTATTTTCATTCAGTCCATTCAGTTAGATACTATGACAAAAATGATGAATGAAACATCTTGATAACATCCCAAGTCTCTGTTCTAACTCCAGTATTGTACAAACTTATTTGTTTAATGACTATTTTGATGTCTTTTAATTTCAGACATGTAGTAAGTACATTCTGACGATAAAAGGTCAAGATCGAAATGGAGATCCAGAGGGAAACACCGGAACTACCACTATTACCATAAATATCCTTGATGTAAATGACAATGCTCCCAGACTGGAAAAAGTTCAGGTACCTCTCTTCTTTACATTTCTCTGTATTAACATATACAGTAGGGGAAATATTTATTTGACCACCTGCTGAATTTGTGATTTTGCCACATGGAGAGAAAAGTATTCATTTTTAACATGGTTTCATTTTAATGGGAGAGGCAAAATATCAACCAAAAATCCAGAAAAACATAGAATTATGAATTGATTTATAATAATAATAATAATACATTTTATTTATAGGCACCTTTCAGACCCTCAAGGTCACCTTACAATAACATGTGAACAATAGCCAATTGCATGTCATTGCGTGAAATAACTATTTCATTGGCTGAAATCAAAAAGTTATTTCAAATGGCACAGAAAACAAATAATGTGCAGGATAGGACTGACAGAACAGACTGAGGAGGCTCACACAACATGAGTGAGGATGTGACCAAGAACAGAGTGGCACAGACAGTATATACACAGGAGGACATTAGGGCAAAGTGAACACACCCGGACACAGCTGAACTCTAATTTCATGTTATGCGTTTCACTTACAGTATGAAGGAAGCATTGAGGAGAACACAGAAGGTGTGGAGGTAATGAGAATCAAAGCAGAGGACCTGGATCTAAAAGGCACAGACAACTGGGAAGCTGTGTTTGATATTGTCAAAGGCAATGAGGCTGGGTATTTCAGCATTAAAACAGACCCCAACACCAATGAAGGCATCTTAATGCTTGACAAGGTACAGCCTTTTTAATTAAGAAGAAATTATGTGCTGTTACTCAGCTTTTTTACTATCTGGCAGATGCAAAGTCAAACTTTGTGGCAAATGGCCCTCTTATGAATGAGGTAAGGATCAGAACCTTGATCACTGCATGGTGATGATTGTTTCCTATGGTTGACTATGCTGCCATTCACAAGAGTGCTATTCACATATATGAAGATTTGTTTTACTTTGGTTTCAATGAACCTGTGGCCATTAGATGGCCACTAATTTAATTTTAAAGAAACACCGTTACAAACTTGATCATACACATGATTAAACATAAAAAATGTAATCAAATAACAAAGAGACAAATGCACTGGTCCTTTAGTAATTTAGTTAGGAAACAAAAGTGAAGTGTGAATTGCTATTAAAAATACCACTCACCCCAACTCACCCTGACTACCCCTAGGGGCACACTGGCATTGCAAATTGCAAATTAGGAGATTTAAATGTCTTTAGTTTATAATTAGTTATTCAAGTTTTAAAATTTAAACTGTATATAAGAAAACATTTTACTTTGAATTTTGCAAATCCTAATCTGGCTAGTAGATGGGGACCAGTGTTGGGTCATAACTCTAAAAAGAAATGACGTATTACACATTACTGTTACCTTTTTTTTTTTTAAAGTAATGCAGCATGTTACTTCGTAACCCAACTTGTTACATTACTTGTGTTACTCTGTAACATATACTGAAATGCATTTCCCTGCAATTACCTAATAATGATGTTATAATCCTCTAAACCTAATAATGAAAAACAGAACTATCTGAGCTAAAAAATATAAACCAGAGGCTAGAGTGCCACACACTGACACAAATATGTATCCTAATGAGAACACATACTTTGCTTCTTTTGATGTCACATATGAACACAAAAATGACAACAAATTGCAAAGCTGAATGTCACCCCAAAGAGACATTAAAGTGAATGCCACAGTGATTCTACTTTAGAAACATAAACATGTAATAATAATTTCTTTTGTTTCCTGCTGAAGATCAACCTGACCTGGTGTCAGCATATGCTATGCTTTAACATCACTCATGATTCTTTGTTAGCTTTGTTTTTGCATGCTGTCTGTGGAGATGCTTGCAAAAAGAAAATGTTGTATTAGGAGTGTAATGTAGTTGTTTCTGTTCTAGATGCAGTTTGTACATTACCAGCGTGCTCTTGTTTTTTCAGGCAATAAAAATAAGAGTAGCATCCAAAGTTCCACAAATACACAGGAAGCAAAAGATATTCGGGGGCTTTTTTGTTTTGTTTTTTTCAGCTTTGTTTTTTTGTTGTTGTTGTTCTATCTAACTGTCGTTCAGATAACTGATGCACCTCTGTAATGCAAGTAACAGCATTATTGTAGCTGTATGTAAATTATTGAATTTAGTACAATAACACATTTCATTACTTTGTTACAGAGTTATATAATGTCATTACAATAATATGTTACTTTGGAACGCATTACACCCTACAATGTGAACTTAGACTCAAAGTATTCCAAAATTTGATAAGTGTCTCTTATTGATAAAGCTTGGAGTCGTTAATTTTTGCCTTCCAATATTTTAAGCTGTCATTGACTTGCTTATTCAGCTTGCGTCAAGTCCCTGTAGTACTACCCTGTAGTATTTGGCTGGAAGACAAAACTATTACCACTGTATGAGGTTTACTGGCCATTGCTATATGACTACTGCCCATTACTTTAACTATTTTTTTCAGAACATTCATAACACATAGCACAGGAGCATAATTTTGCAGGTTAGTTTATATAAAATCAATAATACCTTTTGTTTTACAATAAGCAAAAATGTATCAACAATAGCAACAGTCCAATTATAGATGCATATAAAACACTCTATTGTTTCTTATGTGTCATCAATCATTTTAATTATTTTTTTTAACTAAAAGATATGTTCTTGTATCTGTCCTTTACAGGCTGTGGATTATGAGGATATAAAGACCCTTGAACTAGGCTTAGCCGTCAGGAACAAGAATCCATTAGTTGTAAGTGGAGGCAGTGGAGCAAGTGTATCATTTGGAGGCGGTGGAGGCGGTGGTGGTGGTGCCAGTGGTGCCAGTGGTGCCAGTGGTGCCAGTGGTGCCAGTGGAGCAAGTGGAGCAAGTGGAGCAAGTGGCGGAAGCGGTGGAAGATTAACTTATCCTATCAAAATCAATGTGAAGAACCAGCCGGAGGGGCCACGATTTGATCCTAAAATCAAAGCTATTCCCGTCTCAGAGGGAGGGAAATCCTTTAACATTAAAAATGTTATTGCAAGCTACCCTGCAAAAGATGGGGATACTGGACAACCAGCTAAGGCAGTCAAGTCAGTCCACATACACATGTGTCAGCTTCTCTTTCTGTGCACAACAATAGTGATACTCATAACTGGTCTATTTCTGCTGTAGATATGCCAAAGGCTCAGACCCTGACAACTGGCTAACGATTGACCCAGAGACAGCTGAGATCAAACTGAACAAGATGCCTGACAGGGAATCTCCATACCTGGTCAATGGGACATATACTGCCAAAATACTCTGCATTTCAGATGGTACGGCATGAATGTCGAAGAACTCTCTGGAGAAATATCAATGCAAAAGCAAAAAAAAAAGAAAATACTGGATTATATATGTTTGTTTCTGGTTTTACACCACAGACATGCCTGGTAAAACAGCCACTGGTACGATAGCCATCCAAGTGGAAGATTATAATGACCACTGCCCCACCCTGACCAGCAATTTCCAGACTCTGTGCAGCACAGCAAATGCTGTAATTGTGAATGCCAATGATAAAGACGCATATCCTAATGGCCCCCCTTTTCGCTTTGAGATTATCCCAGAAAACACAAAAGGGAAATGGAACGTGGAGCGTCTAAATGGTGAGATCATGATTTCAGTTGTTTGTTTTTTTGTTTGTTTGTTTTTTTAGATATAGTAGTTAAATAAAGAAAACAATGACAAAAGACAAAAAAAGGTCAATACACCAAAGTTTTGTTGTTGCTGTTGTTTGCTTTGTTTGTTTTACAAATTTTAAAATTTTATTTTGAGATAAAAATGTGGATTACAATCTGTCATATACACTCTAAGACTAAATCTATGAGTAATGCATATACATACTTATTTCACATTTTTCTGGTTTCTGACAGACACTACAGCTATCTTGCGGTCTCAGGAGGATTTTTGGCCTGGTGTTTATGAAGTGGAATTTGTGGTGAAGGATCAGCAGGGACACGCCTGCCCTGAACCTCAGAGAATGACAGTCCAAGTTTGTACCTGCGAGGATGGAGTTGTGTGTGGAAACCAAGGCAGCAATGGTCGTGTTAGCAAAACAACATCATTAGGACCTGCGGGCATTGGGCTAATACTAGCGGGCCTACTACTGCTCTTGAGTAAGCATTATGTGATTATTTTATTTGAGAATTTTGATAAGATAAAAAAGGACAATGAAAGAAATATACTGATACTCGAACCATAACAAAATGTCACTCTCTTACCTAGAAATTTTAAATAAAAAACTTACTGACTATTTTATAGGTAGACTTGGTCAGCTTTTAATTATATAAATATATAATCAGCCAATGACATCATAACACCATCTATAGGGAATCTATGGAGAATAAAGGCAGGTTAGGAAAAGAGGAATAAACTGGTACTAGCAGGGTTTACCTAATAAACCCTGTGTCTCTCCCAATAGGAAATACATAGCCAAAAGTAATTACAGACCAAACTATTCTACACTTGCTACCAATAACTACAAAAATTAAACAGATTAGACTTTTGTAACAATTTAAAATCCCCCAAAGCTTACCAAAGCGTAAAGGAATCCCAGTAATTACATCTATTTTCGGGATTTTACACATTCTGAAAAACTGTTGCTCCTTCTTTTGACCTCACACCACATTTGTAGCTTTAACTTTAAATAAAACATTTTTTTTACAGTCATTCCTCTGCTACTGTTCTTCTGCCTATGTGGATCTGCTAAACAGTTTCCAGACCTCTTTAGTGACATGCCTGACTTTGAGACCAAGTCACACCTTATTGACTACCGCACCGAAGGGCCGGGAGAAAAAACGGTGAGACTGCAACTACCTTAAGTGTTGAAAATGGGAATAATCTCGGCATCGATGATGATGTCTTTGTGAAAGCTCCATCAAAGTGATTTTTAATCACAATAAAAAAAAATGTTCACTGTTCTAACAATTGTATGACTTTTATAGGAAGGGCCACTACTTCTGACTACTGGCACAGTTAAAAATGGAGCAATGGCACCAGCGGGAAGTTTTGATTATGAGGCATCTCTCACTGACATTAATGGGATGAAATTTGGCGCCTCTCATGGTGGTTTTTCAACTGACTACAGACAAGAAATGAGGGGTTTCAATAATTTCCATTCAGAGTTTGAGACCAGAGAATCAAGGCAAGGTGGATTTTTTGATAGCATGGCCCTGCCACGTCACTTCCTGGCACAGTATTACTCTCAGGTGAGAAATTAGCTGACAACTAAATGGACAACTAAATCCAATTAAATGGAAAGTTTTAACACTAAATGTGATATGTAGTAGCTTTACTAATGATGTTAGGTGAACACACGTGTTAATGTTGCAACTAATAATGTTTATGTGGATATTATTCACTTTTTATTGGCTGTCACTGTCGTCAATAAATATGTCTTTCGTTATTTTTAAAGTGTATTGATTTTTTTTATTGATTGATTTTTTTATACAGAAGACAGCCAGCGGAGAGGACAACCTTGGCGTGAAGGATGGTTTGTTGGTGTATGACTATGAGGGCCAAGGGTCCTCTGCTGGCTCAGTAGGCTGCTGCAGCATTTTGGAGTCAGACAATGACCTTCAGTTTCTTGATGACCTTGGACCAAAGTTTAAGACTCTTGCAGAGGTGTGCAGAGGCGAGACAATTTCTTGTGATGACAAACAAGTGCTACCCATTACCCCTAATGCCTACATCAATACTCAAACCTCAGTATCAAGTTCGATGAGTGCACAAAAGCTCTCCCCTCCACCCAAACTGGAGCCTGCCATCTCCAAAGTGGAGCAGAGTGTGGTCAGGAAGACAACGGAGCATTCTGAAATTGTAAAGGAAAGTACAGCCAAGGTGAAGGAAGAGATGAACACAATGAAAACAGGGTTGGCAAGTCAAGGCCAGATGCTCCTAATGCAGCAGCAGCAGCCTGTGTACTACACCACCACTCCTGTGTTGCAGCCAATGCATTATGTAGTCCAGCCACAGGTCCACAACACTGTGATGCTGGCTAAGGCACAAACCACCAACCTTCAAGGCATGGTACTGGTTAACAACACACAATCTGGACCTGCCCAAGGAGTATTCGTTCAAGGGCAGACACTAATGTCCAGTGGACAAGCCCAGGGCCCCGCAATGGTGCTAGTGGAGAATGGTGACACCCATAGTTGGAGTGATGGCCTGATCCAAGCTGGGAGCTTGTCTGGGTCCCAGACCATGATGGTTGTCAAAGGCAAGGCCCCTTCAGGGTCAACGAAAGTGCTAAAGGGGAGCCAGGGTCATCTTGTTCAGGGAAGTACTCTACTGTCAGCAGGGGTCTCAGGATCTAAGAAAGTGCTGACAGTTGGAGTGCCAACTATCACCAAAGAGCAGCTGGTTCAAGAGGGAGGTCTTTCAAAGAAGAGTGAGGTCTTTGGCTCTGAAAAGGTCATCTACAGCAGGAGCAGCCAATCTACTGCCTTAAAGGCAAATCAGTAGAGCATTCACTGTAGTGACCCACCTACTCGTTTTTAAGGTGACAAGAGAAAATCATTAAATGGCAGATGAATTCCTGGACAACAGACGACCCTTTTTAGTTTCAAAATAGTGTATTAATCTTGTGCTTTCAGTATTTTCATGGGAAGCCTGTAAGAGCAAACAGTGGTGGTGAAGGGTGGTGGCGTGTGTGTGTGTGGAGGGATATGCAGCTTGTGCAGCTTTTCCTGGTTGAAATGTAATCATTTCACAGATTAAAGGATACCGTTATTACATTTTAGTAGATGTTGCACTTTGAAATGTTGCTACTATCAAGCAAAACTTAGACCTGTGGGAATAATCAAACCATTCAGTAATCCATAATCTCCTTTGGATGGTGCATTTATGCCATTGAAGAGACCACATTACTCATCACATCATAAAGCTGATAAATCAGAATGTGTTATTCAATTGGAATGAACTTTGCCTCTAAGAAGACAAGTGGACTCAAATCATGACAACAAAATGCTCACTACAATATCAGGACATCATCTTATCATGTAACTATCAACTTTACCTGCTCTTCTTTGTTCTCAAGTTAACACTGTATTATGTGTGTGGGTATAATTGATATCAACTGTTACATTCTCATGTTATATTTTAGGTCATCACTGCTCTCATTGTCTTGTTTTATTTTTATACCTATATACAATCTGTGTGTTTTTACACTAATAAAATAAAAACATTAAAGTCTTTTAGCTCATTAAATTTGATTGTTATTGCTCAGCCTAGACTGATGGGTACTGCAGAATGAACAACCCAATTTTGTGAACACAATAACTCAAGAATGATGTGATGTGGCATTTAGAAAACCATAGGTGCGTCTACTAAAAGTCTCAGACAAGTTCATATCTTGGCGACAGAGGTCAAGTTTTCTGAAAATCTTGCGAATTTAACAATTTGATAAAGACGTTATCTATAAGTTCCAAATAGATACCATAAGTTGCATCTGTTAAAACTCACAGATTTCATTTCTGAAAATCTGGTGCATGCTATAACTGAAGAAAAGTTATGATACCATAGGCATATCTACTAACAGTGAACTTGAATAATTTGGTGACCTTGACCTATATCAAAGGTCAAATAGACCTTTGACAGATACAATCATGTGTGGTCATATATACCATCATGCCAATGCAGGCAACAATACACTGTGATTACAAGAGCTTTCAAACATTCACGCAAGGCTTAATAAAATAGGTTTGCTTCTGGTGATATAGGTATTTCTGAGCTGACCCCCCAGTCAGAGAATTATTTTGAAATCTTTGGGGTTTTCTATTACATTGATAAGGATTTGTGGCTGCGTTGATATGTAAAATCTGGGGTGTTATGTGATTGTGAAGAATATTTTTGCCAATAAAAACATATAAAATTCTAAATTATGACCAGTGTTGTAGAGCATATACTTTACAGGGAATCGTGCCACCTTTCTGCTGGATGTGGTGAAGGGGCTGCTGTCCTGCTGCTTTCCAGCATCATCCAGCTCACCACAGCTGGCCAGCTTGAGGATTAAATTTAAACTGAAATTTTTGATTCAGTGTAAACCGTTTAGTGGGTTAGAACACACTGATTATTTTACATTGTCTAAGTTCTCAGTCTAAGACTGAAAGAAATTCATTCTAAGGAGCCAGCTGATCACCCGGTGACAAGCACGTGGGTTGATTACCACAGGTATGCATGGGAAGAAGGTGGAGTATAAGTAAAGTGTGGTTAACTAATGTGCACACACACACACACACACACACACAGGAGGACTGGTGGGCTATGACAGAACCCCCTTCTCCTAATGGGAACATGCTGGAAACCAACCATGTTTATCAATGTGGAGGGAGTGAAAGGCCCAGAGCATGGCCTTGTCCAGAGCAGCTGCCTGTGGACTCCAGGAATCTTCTTTTGTCCACAGTCCTCCTTACGATGTACACTGGGGGGCTACCAATGAGCAGGGCAGGTCAGGTGAGGTCAGATGGCGGCACAGGAGACTGGAAAGGGTGAGTTTTAACTGAGATACATGAAAAACACTTTGAATGCACATCTTGCATGACAGATTCAGCTGCACAGGGTCAGGGTTGATCAGAGCCTCTATTTTAAAAGGTCTAATTGTCATGGTCCTGGGTCATTTTGACCCAGTGTTCTCAGTTTTCCTGTGGTTTTGTATTTTGTTCCTTATGTTCATTGGATTGTTTGGTTTGGTATTTGGATTCCCCCTGTGTCCATGCTTTTATTGTGGTGTTTGTTCTGGTACCGTGTTCCCATCCTTTGTGTTCTGTGTTCTCCTCATCCCCTCGTATTCATCCTTGTTCTCTGCCTCTCTCTCTCTGCCTCTCTCTCTGTGCTCATCTCTGTGTACTGTTGTGTTTAAGGTCCACATCTTGGTGTCAGTATTTTCAGTTTCGTGTCCTCCCCGCTCGGTCATGAGTAATTGTCCTCAGCTGTGTTCCCCGTGTGTTCCCACTTCCCTCATTATCTTCTGTGTATTTATGTCAGCGTGTCCCTTTGTTCTGTGTTGCGTCGTCCCTCTAGGTTGTGTGCATTTCCCGTGTCTTCCCAGCGCCTCAGCTTTAGTTTCTCCCAGTATAGTTTTGTATGACTTCTTATGTTCCTGTTAATAAAGACCTGCCTTTGAGTTCATTCCCGTGTGTCTAGAGCCGTGCATTTGGGTCCTCTCTTGCCTTCACACAGCCGCCGCATGACACTAATAAGGTTAGGTGAGAGTTTGCATGATTCAGTGTGTAAGGGAACATACTTGATAGAGAGCCATACTTTGTGATCAGGTTAATAACGGGGTTCAGGAGTCCAACGATGGTCTGCACATTATTTATTTCGCTCCTCGGTCTGAGCAGCCTGTGTCACCCTTAGAGTTGCTGACACCAGCTGAGATGGTGCTGAACTGACGACACAGAGCACTTACTTTCAATAGAAGAAAACAGGGGTGGCTAAGAGCCCCAGGATGATTTGAAGCATGAGTGTCCAGTGGGTGAAAGAGTTGTGAGAATACTCTGTCCACACTAGCTGAGAGATGCAGGTCTGATAGGACTTGTTGCTGCAAGAAAGCCATTACTAAGACATCAGAATAAGACAAAGAGGTTTGCCTGGGCGATGAAACACCGCCATGGACTGGAAGATGTTATTATGGACTGATGAAGCAAAATGTAAAACATGGAGGAGGAAGTGTGATGGTCTGGGCCTGTTTTGCTGGATCCAGGGTCGGTGACTTGTACAGAGTGATAGGCACCCTGAACCAGCTTCATGCAATATCTCTGGCATGTACCTAGTTGGTCAAGGGTTTATCCTACAGGAAGTTAATAACCCAGAACATAAGTCCAAGCTATGCCAGAACTACTTCAGGAAAAAAGAAAAAGGTAAGCTTGAAAACAAAGAGTGGCCAGCACAGTCTCCAGACTTAAACCTCATCAAACTATGTTAACATTTTGTTTTTGTGGCCCGCAGTAAAAGTGTTTGCTGCCTGGGTGTGGTGCTCTTTGTTCGTTTGGGTCTCCTGAGTGACCAGAGAGACACTCTGAGCCAGAGAGACTAAAGTCCATGGCACCATGGAAAAAAGTGAAATTGAAATTGTAACAGGTTGATATAAAACTGTGAAAACTTAGCATCTTTGTCTTCTTTCTCATTATTAACCTAGCAAGGGCGAGTGGGGGATTTCTTTTTTTATTGGAGATTATGTATCGGAATTTCAGGAGCGGGACCACGTCTCCAAACACGCTCCCTCCAGTTCAGTTCA